ACATTCCCGATAAGGAGGGTTTTCTCTGACTAGCAGGTGCTTTTAGTCAGTTTACCTTATTAACTCACGTTTTGAGCCTTTCATGGATATCTACTCATTTTATTTGCCTTATTTCCCCCATGCAAGAATATGCTTAATCCATTTAAAATAAGGTGATCAAGTTTCCGACGTGTAGATTCTCAGAGCATTTATTTAGTTCTTTGTTACACTAGAACCCAGTGATGTCCCTCCTTCATTGCATTACTGTACGCAGTACGTTGGAGGGGTTTATTTCTTCGTGTCATGAGTTCCCTAGTTGTCCCTTGTACTATCGAGTTCTTCAAAGCCAGATTGTCATCTTCATGTGGTTGAGCGCTTCTGGCCCAACTGGCGACGTAAATATTCGTGATGGAATAGTGCCAGCGGTACTGGAAATATTATTCGTCGTGACTTTAATCATGCCTTGATTTGTGGAGTCTAGTCACTTACCAATTGAAGAGCTCTATCTAAACGGAGGCGTGCATTGAGTAGTAGATTGGGTTCCCTCTGGATCTTGGGTGCATGTGAAGTGGGATAGTAAAATTACCTGCAGTCTGTTTTTGGCTAATTTTCCTTACTCTGATAAATAAATCACTCCGTATTGTGAGATTGGGTGCTATTTACTGCATTATAATTTATCAAGTCTGCTTGTCCACACACCCTGTGAGTGATATAAGCAAAGTCTCAAATCTCAGTTCCGTTTTAAATGTCAAACACAGGGTACTCTCGTTGTTGTTAGCACTGACTTGATTATGATGGTCAACACTGCAAAAGTTTTGAAGGTAAATCCTTAATAACAGATTAGGCTCAAATTCACTTTACAATAAATGTCCCTCGCCTAAGATCGCTTAATCCATCAGGTTTATGTGTGCATCTTAAATGCGCCTTATTGTTGATATTGAGTGTGAATAGTAGGTAGAATCTTGGAACCTTTTGCCATCTCCATAGACCGGACTCTGCCGCTTTGCACAGTTGTGAAATCGACATGAATCGTCACAAGGCGTAGTTTGTGAAAATATTTTTGCCGAAAGGTTGCCAGGTCGAAAAGTAACTCTCGAGGCAGTTTATTAATCACTTGACACTCACGAAGTGCACCTCTCTCGGCTGACCTACCACTACTGCAGTTTGAGGTGTGTTCGTCTGACTTCACGTATGTGTGACATGTAATTCTTTGCACGAAATTTTCTCCGGAACCTTTTGTGGCTCCCTTCAGAACATCCATTCTAACCAGTTGACTTGATAAATAAAACCTGCTGTTAGTTTTAATTGAACGAGGTGCAAAGAATAGTGAAAAGGGAGTGCTAGCCGTAAAAGAATAAAGGTAGGCGGTGTTAAAACTGCTAAATTAAAGGCTGCAAGTTTCATACATGTCGCTGCAGGACGTCCACGAGTTATATGCCTCCTCCTTGGACCAGATGGAAGGTAGCGAACCGGAGAGACGGTTCTGCGAGGTGCTGAGGATCTGCTCACAGTCTGCCGTCTTCTTCCCTTTTCGTCTATCTTTGCCAATGGTGTTACGTCTGCTGCCATTGCTATCACCACCACCACCACTGTTGGAGAACAGCACTTTGACCAGTTTCATACTCAGCTCCTTTCATCGGTTTATGGTATCCAATTTTTTGCTTCAAATGCTCCTACCGTGGTAAATTGCTTCTTGTCCCCTAGTCCTGCACCGTGCTCTTTCCCAGTGAGTTAAGACAGGAACGTCCCTTTTATTCATTAAAATTGAATAGTTATAGACTGGCTCTTTGCCGGTAGAAAAGTCGCGACGACTGCACACGAAAAAAGGGTCATCCAAAGAAAGGGCAGCTTACCGCTTCTCGATGGAGACTTTGCTGAGTGATGAGTTTTGTAGAGCGGAGCGTCTCATTGGAATCCACTGTCCTCAATGTCGTATGGCGATGGTGAACGACCCGCCTTGTTCGTGGCCGTCTGTAGCAGTGCCGCAATGTGGCCAGTCGTGTGGATGGCCGTCTCTGTGGTAGACGGAAACAGCGACTATCTGTGTGTTTGCACAGCAATTTGTGAAGAAGGCTCCAACTTCCTTGGAATTGGAGGAGCTAGCTGACGGTGTGCAAGCACGTCTCTTGTATTTCCTTGCTTTTGAAGCGAAATAAACGCTACTCATTCCAGTTGTCTTGAGCATTTACTAAATTCATTACTATGCATCGTAAGTTACGGAGGCTATTAATGCTAAAGCATCAGCGGCAGCAGCAGAAAGACATCAGATGAAAAGTATGTGGGAAATGTGATGAGACTCCTGAGCTGGGTTATGTCACGTATTGACTGAATGTTCACATGGATGATTGCTATGGCTATGGCCCGGAAATCACCACTATCGTAATCGTCGTTGATATATGTGCTAGTTTTTGGGATAACAGACAGTGCATCATTCGTCTTGCCACTGCCGATCAGCTTTACGTGCCACTTCGTCCACGACTGGAGGCCTTCAAATTCGGGTTTTGCGTCTCGTCGC